CTGCCGGATCCGCGAGTGGGGTAGTCTGGAGGCAGAGCCAGTCACCGTCCTGCTCCTGCTGCGCTCCTCCACGGTGTCACGCCACTCTTCCTAGTTGCTCCTCCTCATCTGCGGTTCCTTCTAGACGTCCCCATCCTCCTCGCCTCTCTCATCCTCCAGGTCCTCCTCCTCCTCCTCCTCCAAATCTTCGCCAGTCGACGATTCCGTGTGTCAGCCTGCGCAGCGCGTTTCTTCATGACCATAGCATGCCCTGGGAGCGGGTGGCCCACTTCTCTGACGTGGCTGTACGGAGAGTGCGGGACAATCAATCATGACACCAAAAACTGTCAGTTCAAAGAAAGCACGCAATGAAACCGGAATGTTGCATCTCAGGGCCTCGCGTGGGGTCCTTGCCTCTCTAAGTTGACAGCGTATCAGGTATCAGACAAGACGACTCCAATATCAGCTGCATCAGTGGCCCTGAGGTACGCAAACTGTGTCGTTCTTGTTTGGGGGGCGGTGGAAGGGGGGTGGGGGGTAGATTCAACAAGCAAGGCAACACGCTTGCCATTCGGATGTGCCACTTCTTACAAGGTGCTCCTGCAGGGCCCTAAATGCTGATCAGCATTGACCGTGGGATCGCACACCTGCGGAGGAGTGGCACGGCCGAAGAATGTGCGGCCAGTGGGACGGGGCGTGCCCGCTTCGGGTGTCGCTAACGTGGGGCAACCAATTGGGAGTGAAGAAGCGTCATTTGTTCCACGAAACACCACGAGAGCCTCAACCACATCGCAGACCTGCAATCGGCAAACTCATGCGATGAACCGTGGCCTGAACAACAGACCGACACTGCAATTGCTCTGCATGTGGATCTCGCCGGAAAGCCCAGCAGAAAAAGCAGGGTGACAAAAACATGTGCACCGTTCGTGCATCCTTTGGGCCCGCGGCCGCAGTTTGGTGGCCGTCCAGGGCCCCGCTTGGGCCACCTTCCTGCAACCCTCGCTCCCCCCCGCCTATTCCCCCTCCCCCTCCCCGCCCCCCCGCGCTGCCGTCCGCCCCGCAGCTGCGGGCACGCGGGTGCCCCTCTCGGTCCCCCCACCGCCTGCCTCGCCAGCGTCCCCTCAACGCACACCAGGCACGAGCATGAATTTGGAGTCCCGAAACTGTGTGGTGACGGACCGTGCGGTGACCTCGAAATCCCCCAAGACCTCACCGCACGGTCCGTCAACGCATGGTTTTGGGACTCTGGAGGCTCCAGTCGCCCTAGACATCCTCGGAGAACGACTCGAGTCCCAAAACCGTGCGGTGACCGCGAATCCCAACCGACTCACCGCACGGTGTGGTCACCCCGTCTGGGGGCCCCCGAATGAACCCCAGGGTCGCAACCTCCAAACCCGGACCTGGACCCAAGCCTCAGTCACGGCCGGCCGCGCCGGCCACCCATGCCGAAGGCCTTCGTGCTCCCGTCCTCCTCGCTCCACAGGCCGCCCTCAGCCCTGTCTCTCTCTCGTTCTCTCGTTCTCTCTCTCTTGCGCGGCCCCAGAGGCCCCGAGCCCTTCCACGGGGGGCCACCCACTGTAGAGGCCTTCTAGATGGGGCCCGAGTAGATGGGGTCACAGGATCGCGCCGCATCGCCACGCCGCATCGCCGATGCATCGGCGACGTCGGCGGTGCCATCGGCGCTGTCTGCGTGGAGAGAACCGGGCTCCGCATCGAGCCGCATCGCCGATGCATCGACGATGCGGCGCGATCCTCCGACCTTATCTGCTCGGACCCCATCTGGGAGACCTCTTGGCATGAGCGCGGGGGTCGCCAAGGGGATAGGGGGTGATCAGTGGATGCCAAGGTGGGTTATATCTGGCCTAACCTAGTTCATTAGTGGGTTGCTAATACCCAGTGGATCGGGGAGACAACGACCCAGGCGAAGTGGGCTCCGTCCACTAGCGGAGTTGTCAAATCCCCCTAAGCCACTTGGGGCATGTGTAACCGACTTACAAGCTAGATTAGGCCAGGTATAACCCCTTTGGCATCCACTGATGACCCCCCTTATCCCCTTAGCAACCTCCGCGCCCATCCCGATGGTGTCCCATGTCCATCTCTGATGCCCCCGGGGCCGGGCACAGCGGGCCCCCAGAGGCCCCCCCCAAACCGAGGCCAACAGAGACTCATCCGCAGGCCTCGAACGCAGGTAGGGCGCCCGGGGTCAAGCAGGGACGACAGGACGGGCACCCACGATCGGGCAGTTGCCTGGTGCTCACGCCCCGGGGCCCAGCCCCACCCTGAAACCTGACGCTGCCAAACACGTGGCAGCACCGCGGAAGATCACAGCAGTAGCTCCAGACCCCAGGCATCTGCGTCCTCTCTCGAGGGCCCCAGCCAGAAACTCGGCGAGAACGCCCGCTGCGAAAGAGAACGGCGACGCCCAGATCTGGAGGAAGGTGCGCGCCCCACCGGAGGCCGGGGAGCCACCAGACCCGACCGAGCAGCGGCAACGGCGGCAGCGCCACGCGGAGCTCGACCATAATCTCGCCATAGGCCACCGCCAGGGCACAAAGGCACCAGGCATCGCGTGGCGCGCGTCGTTCGACCACACGCAAGAGTGTGGGTAAGAGTAACCTTTGGTGCGCGGCTCTTGGGGGGCCGCGGGGGGACCGAACACAGGCGCGCAAGACGCTACTACCGCATCGCGATCTGCGATCGGGGGGCCCCATTGGGCCCGCTCCAAAGGTCACCCTGGCGAAATGTCACTCTTACGTGTCGTCGAGTCGTGGGCACTTGCGAAGCACAGCGGAAGCAGGACCGGGGCAAGCATCGGACCGAAGCAGGTCGGGGGCCTGTGCGATCCAGCGGTTAACTGGAAGATGTGCAGGGGCGCCGCGGCCGCTCCAGAGCGCTCCGGGACGCGCCGAAGCGGTTGCGGAACACAATGGGCCGATGTATCCTCCAGTCCTCATATAACCAGCCTCGCACTTCTCCTTATCCCTAAGATGGGCGAGCAGGGATGTGCCCTCAGAAACTGAAGGAACCCTCAAGATCGGCATCGTGGCGGGGTGATGCCAAACACAGGGATACGGATATGTTTCAAACTGGTAACTATTGGCCCGTCCGAAGAAGGTCGAAGCGCACCCCCAGGAGGGCCTAACCCCAATGGAGGTGTCGCAGCGGCCACGGCTGCCGCGATGGCGCGCGCCCCAACCCAGCCTTTGAGAGTCCCGAGGTGGGCACCGGGGTACACTCTCCAGGGCAACCTGCTCTGGGGCAGGTGCGGCCTCTCCCCCGAGGTGCGGTCCGGAAGGGCAAGCATCGGCGTGATCATACGATCGGGAACTGTTGCCTTAGCGTGTCGCCGCGGCGGCTTGCCCTCGACTACGCACCGCTGCCTGCGCCCTAGCCCCTGGGTACGACCGCAACGCCGACCCGCGTCCACTGCCAGGCCCTGTCAGCGCAGGACGGCCGCCCGGCCACTCCAGTTGAAGTTCTGCGCGCTGTGAGCGCCCCCCGTCCTCTCCCGCCCTCTGCGGCCGCTCTCCTCCTTGGCCTCCCCTCTTGCCGCCGGACGACGAGCGTCGGTCATTGCCTGGCTCACTGGAGCGCGCGTGCGGATTGCCTCTGCCGCGCGGCGACGTAAAAGTGTCACCGCGGCGGCCCTGGCGACGAGCAATGCCCTGCAGGCGGATAGCGCCTTGCTCCGCCTCGCTGGACGGGAAGACGAGGCAATCTCGGGACGTTGACACCTGGAGACTTGGAGAATGGGTAGCGCGTCGCGCGGCCAGAACCAGCGACGCGACACGCTAAGCCAAAGCTACTGAACGTAAACTTGCGGAGGTACGCGCGGACATCTTAGATCGGCGCTGGACTGCCCCCACCCTTCGCACGGAGCGCATCAGGGGAGGCGGCGCCAGGGGGGGTCCAGCGCCAATCCAAGAACTCGCCATCGCTCGGACGTCCATTTCCTGTGCATTGTTCGGTTTCGCGCGTGTGCAGTCGGAGCTCGACCACCAGAAACCTTCGACAAGAAGCCCAACCTTGAGCCCACTGGATGTCCATTGATGTTTGGTATGGGGACGTCACGCTTTCTATCGGAAAACCATCGAGACCCAAGAAACCCAGAGCACCCTGGAGGCAGGCAGGGTGTTCCTCGGCACGGGTTTCCCCGGCATGTCTTCGCAGGATGCTCCAGGATGCTGCCCGAGGGCTCTCGCCGAGGAAAAAGAAGCACGCGCCCCGAGCGATGCCAGGATCGATCCGCGCGGGCCTCCGAGAGCCGAGCCCCGCGGGCGCGACTGCGGGGCCCTACGCCCGGACCCCCGACGTCATGACTTGTTCACAACGTCGACCTTCAGAGGTCTCCACCCCTTCCCCGGGGACCGGCTTTCCATCCTGAATCGTTTTGTTGGCGGTCCCGAGGCCGAACGTATCGAAAAGCCTCCCGTCGCGATGTTTTTCACAACGCGAGGGGGTCTGGGAAGCGGACAGGAAAACTCCCGGCACGAGCGCCTGCACTGCTCGAGAAGGTCCCTCGTCCCTGGGACTCGGCGCGGCGAGCCTGGGGGGGGGTGGGGAACCAGAGGGGGCGTGGACAAGTCTTCTACAGCAGGAGCTCGACCACGAGAAGCCTTCCACAAGAATCCCAACCCTGAGACCCCGTCTATTGATTTTTGGTGTAAGAACGTTACGCTTTCCATATTCCTCTTCATATATCTTTATAAGCCCGGGCGGGGGGACCCCCCCCCGAAAAAATCGGACTCCCGGGATCTCAAGGGGGAACCTCCGCAAAAAGAGCTGAGGCGGATGGGGAAAATGCGCATGGTATGGCAACAATTGGAGGACGGATAACAAATATCATCATTTTAGCGGCGAGGCTGGAAAAGGCAAAAGGAATTATCGCTAACTTGTCGGCTCGACCTTTCTGCCATTCCGCCTGCATACCAAATTTCAAGGACCAAGGTGCATGGCGCGAAGCGCCACTGCAGTCTTGTGTGTATATATAAAAATAAATATATGTATACATCTCTCTCTCT